GTACATTGAAAAATAAATTTTCAAAATGTTGGAATTTTAGACATTTTTCCCGCAACTCAAAAAATGAACTCTGGCTCTTAAGTAAAACATTTGATTCAGCTTTTGAGTAAGTATTTTTTTATATAGCACATACCGGTTTTGAATTAATTTTTTTCGTTTTTCAAAATTTGGAAATCCTTAATTTTTGGATTCAATTAAAAATCAAGAAATCGGCACGATGACAACGAAATCGTCTTTTAATACAAAGGGACCACAATAAAATGTTATATACATACTCACCGTGACCACAATCAATATTATATATATAGGGACCGCAATCACATGCTATACACATAGTGGCCGTGACCACAATCACGTGTTACATACATAGTAACCGTGACCACAATCACGTGTTGTATTCATAGTGACCACAATCACTAATGTATATACAGTGACCGCAATCGCATGTTATATACATAGTGGCCGTGACCACAATCACGTTTTACATACATACTAACCGTGACCACAATCACGTGTTGTATATATAGTGACCACAATCACTAATGTATATACAGTGACCGCAATCACATGTTATATACATAGTGACCGCGATTACTTCTTAAATTGATATGAATTTAGGACCTTGTACATCGATCAACAGAGATTATTTTCAGAAATTAGAGAATAAATATAGGGCCGGGTTGCCGAGTTGAAGGTATGTATGCTAAAATAATTTTCAAGGTCCGTTTTTTACTATGTTTTATGGAGGTCGTTATCTGTGACCACGATCAAATGTTATATACATAGTGACCACAAAACGGACTGAAGGTGTATATATATATACATATGTATATATATATATATATATATATATATATATATATATATATATATATATATATATATATATATATGCTAAATCTTAATATGACCTAGGTTTTTTTTATCACCCTCCAGTTCTCCGATAATGCCGATTTTCCCGAGCCTTTTGAGTAAATCCTTTTCCGGACTCTAAGTATGTTAAAATTACATTTTATGAATGATTTCGATGTGTAATATATCGATTCTTATGTATTTTCACTTGCTAAACCCGAATATGACCTTAGATTTTTCCTATCACCCCTCGTTATCCCGGAAAATTCAATTTTTATCGGAGAACGAGCTTTCCCGGGTAAAATCGGCTTTTCCGAAAAATTGAAGGGTGATGGACACAAACAGAGGTCATATTCAGATTTACCGCCTAAATATACATAAGAATCACCTGATCTCGACCGAGAGATATTTTTGTTGTTATTTTTTACATGTCAAAATGGGGTGGAGAAAATCTTCAATCTCAAAAGCGCCAGAAATTACATTTACCTTCAGTTAAGTTTCTCGGTCAGGATGTTGATATTTTGTTTAACTAAGATGTAAAATGAAATCAACGACCCAAAAATCATAAGATCCAACACCTTTAATGACGGTACAGTGCATTTTCGAATAAAGTTCCGTTAAATCCAGTCTGTGGACCACAGAGCGGCGCCCGGTCGAATGTGTGGCAATAAGCCAGGGGGTAATTCCGGCGCCATATTGAATTTCCGCTAAAGCGCGGGCAAACGCGGCATTTTAAAATTTCGAACTTCAAAAGTCGTTTTCGGAGGGAAATACGGCTCGGAATAATCTACAAAAATCACTGCGTGATCGGGAGACACTGTAGTTTCTGAAAATGCAAGAATTAGAACCCTGGTAAAAAAGACGACTACCCCTGCGACTAGGAGGGTACATAAATGGAACCGGTGTAGGTAGCCGTGCGACTACCTAGATGTAGTCGTGCGACTACCTAGATGTGGCCGTGCGACTGCCTGGATGTAGCCGTGCGACTACCTGGATGTAGCTGTGCGACTACCTAGATGTAGCCGTGCGCCAACCTAGATGTAGCTGTGCGACTACCTAGAAGTAGTCATGCGACTACCTAGAAGTAGTCATGCGACTCCCTGTGAGGGTTCCTATTAGGTACCCACACAGGTAATCCTATTCTGTGAATGCACAGGTGCAGGGGCATCTGTGTCACTGCACCTGGAATATTGGTCCCATTAATATCGGGACAGGTACAAGAGCACAACTCTAAATTAATGGTTGCCGCCCATGAATCATAGCCACAGCAGTGGTGATTCCTGCATAAAAAAAGCGTGAGCAATAATATCAATATCCAATTACACAATAAATCCTTAATAACAATAATCAATTTCATAAAATTGTTTTCTTATGTATCACAAATTGAAAGGACTTAATAAGTCAGATGAGATTTGAAGGTTGGCGCAAGAAATGTGTCACTTTCGTTAGACTTTTTGTCCTTACTGTAGACCTTGAATAAGAAATTGAATTCAAGGAAAATAAAGTTTCAAATGTTCTAACCATTTCTCACTGTCAGAACTCTCTAGAACACTTTACATTCATGATTAATTTTAGAGAAAAAAGAGTCGAATTTTCCCTAAACTTACCACTTTTTGCATGGTCTACGGTAAGGAGAAAATTAATTATTAATGTCCTTACAGTGGACGTTGCAAAAAGTGCTAAATCTACTGTGAAATCAACTTTTGACAGCAATTTTCTTTAATTATATCATGAATATAAAGTTTTCTAGTGAGTTCTGACAATGAAAAATGTTTAGGAACACATGAAACTTTATTTTCCTTGAATTCAAGTTCTCGCTCAAGGTCCACGGTAAGGACAAAAAATCTAAAAAAAGTGAAAAGTTATTTGAACTGAGCCTCAAACCTTTATTCGAAGTCATACACCAGCACGGAAAGAAACGTTAATGTAGGGATCATTCTCACTGACAGCAAGAGGAACTACAGGAAAATATTATTTACATACGTGGGCAGCAACCATTAACTTTAAATTCAAGTGAGTTGTATTGCAGACCACAAATCTTTAGGTACCCACATGTGCACGATCATAATAGCTCTAACATTCTACCTGTAAAAATTACAGAGGAAATTAGTATAAGAGGGCATGATAACGAAATGATGAGCATCAGCTTCTGAGATCAAGAAATACTTTAATGGTTTATATGGAAAAAACAGGAACAAAAATTTTAAATGAACAAACTTAAAACTCAACTATCTCAGTCTTACAGAATAAAAAAATGAAAACGAAAAGGGAAAATAAAAATCAAAATGAAAAATAAAAATGAAACGAAAAATAAAAATGAAACGAAAAATAAAAATGAAAAATAAACATATCACGTCAGGGTGCTCTCTACTTCTTCTTTGAACTTCTCATGAGCGTGGAAATTTTCTTCCCGATGTAAGAGTGGACTTTCTTTTCCCTGGTTCTGTAATCGGAAGAGGTGACGTCATACCCCTCTTCCACGGCACGTTTCATAAACAATTCTGAAAACAAATTTGAGAGGACTCAGATATAAATTGCTATAATAAAAAACTAATTGCTATAATTGCTAAATAATGTGTATGCAGATACATTCAATAAACCCTGAGCTAACGCTTTACATCTAAAAATTTTATGGTTTCAAAATACTCTCTTTGAAATGAAAAGCATGGAAGTCCACTTGCAAGATGATTAATTGGGGAAATTTAAGAGAAGGGAAGTACGCGGTGAAAGAACATGAACATTTCTACAGGAAGAACCAGGTTTGCGTAGGTCGGGAATCCAATAATAATGCAGTTTCTGATTTTTTTTCTTTAAAGAAAAGGAAAAACTACCTCTATTTCGCAAAAATAACCCTGAAAATATACAGCTAAAGAAAATAAAAAAAAAAGCCATTCAAAAGAGTTTCTGACCAGTAAGCATGAAACTGATGCATTCACTTTCAAATTTTTAAATTTAAGACAGTAATTGCTTGGTAGTGAAAATCTAAAGGGGGTGGATGGAAAGAAACAATAAATACCTTTCACTAATTGCAGGCCTTTTTCTGGCAGTTTTTCTTTGGGCGGCTCTTTGTCCTCCTTATTCTTTCTGGCAAGGCACTCACTGCCCGTCACGGAGGACACCATGAGGACGTCTGTAGTGAACACAGCCACAGCCAAGTTTTTCACAAAAAGCGAGTCTCCAGCGGATCCTTTGGTGACTCCGTTCTTTATTGACGCATATTGCTCCTCAGTTATTTTGAATTCCTTTTCCTGGAAAAATTTCCTGAAATTTAGCAATGGGAAAAGGGCGGACAGAAAGCATCATCAAAATAGTAAATAGGGATTCACTCATGTCTAATGAAGAAAGACAGGTGATTAGCAGATCGGAACCAAGCTGCATCAGCTTTTGCAAAATTCAACTGGGCAATCTAATTTTTTACAAGAGATTGTTAGTGCGGATTTTTTTGATAACTTCAAGAAATTTGCTTCATACTTTACAGAAAATTCACTAAATTTGCACAAAAATCCGCATAACTGTTTTCTTGTAAAAACTTAAAGTGCCCACTAAATTTGGAAATAGCTGATGCGGCTTGGTTCCTTTTTGCTTAATGTCGTCCAGTGTAAGAATTCTTAGTCATTCCCTGTGTTGATACATTTCTCCTTTGGAAACAGGCAGCAATTTCATGGGTACAAATTTTACCATCAACCTTCAAGAAACAGCTGATGAAAATCAATGATTTTGTTGAACACAGGAATTCATGAATAAGAGAGTATTATCCTTTGATGAGAATGTTTATATGCAATGATAGTATTGATAAAATGAAACAGTAAAAAGACTTACAACTGCACTTTGCTTTGCAAGAGGGATTTCTGTCTCAGCGGAGGTTGTTGCATCAATATTGACTTCCATCTGTATTTTCTGTTTATCGACAGCTGCTTCAGGGACATCGTCTTCTGTTCTATTGACAGCTGCTTCAGAGACACCATCTTCTGTTCCGAAGTCTATTTTCTGAAAAACGTCATTACAGAACCCATTAAAAGTTTGAGAGTAAAAAAGAATGTAAAGGAATAAGTTTACAGTAATAACTACACCGTGGTAATTGATAGGTGATCATGCTGAAAGAATTCTGACCTTGATTTCTCGTAAGAACATCCAAAGGTTTGATGAAAAGTATCTCCTAAAAAATGTAAATTAAGGGTGTTCAAGTGATTATCATGATAATAATCCTTCTTCAGAGATTCTCACACCATTAAAACACAAGAACCTTGACACATAAATCCAATCTAAGTCTGAGCAATTTAAAAAAGATTCTCATTAATACCTTCACATGGACTGATGAGGATGTCGGAGTAGTTGCCTTCTTTTCAGCCTGGGCTTTCAGTCGAGGAGACTGGCGCAGGGGAGATGAAACTTTAAAAGGGGACATGACTGTGCTTTGATTCCTTGTTGCAAGGGTGAGGTCAACTTTCAATTTGATGTTTTCTTCTGTCGCTGTCCTTAGTTGCTCTTCAAGGAGCTCTATTTTAGATGATAAAGCAATGTTTTTTGTTTTCTCGTCGGTCCAACTTTTCTTCCACTTATCCCTCTCTTTTTCTACTTGCTTTAGATCACCTTTCAGGATGACATCATCCCCACTATCCGATGACGATGAGGGAGCCAATGCCACAATTTTCTTCTTTTTGCTTTGGCTGCATTCTCCCAGGAGATTATCAATGTTGGCATGGGATGAAGATTCTCTCAGCCTCTTCAATTCAGCTTTCTAAAAGGAGAGGATAAAGGATAAAAAGTTAGGAAGGGTTGAAGAAGAAGAGACTTTAAAAAGGAAGAAAAATATCGGATAATATTGGCTTGATAAGGGCCCTATCAAAACTCTATTCTCTCAAAACTGAATTACTGATAACAGACTTAAGTACTTATGATTATACTGTACAGGATCATTCGTCTCATCAAACTTTCATTGCAGGAAAATAGCACTCCTCCCTTAGCAATTTAAATCCCTGGAGTTTAAACAAGTTTGAAAGACAAATCAGATCATACCTTAGGTTCCGCTTCATTGTTTGTTTTCTTCGATGATTTATTAATTGACTTCGCTTTCAAAATCCGCCCACTCTCGCTCGCCTCCTTTAGCTTCGCAGACTGTTGACGTATTCTTTTTCTCTCAATCTGCTCTAAAAGCTTATCTTCAGTATCTGGGAAAATACAAGGAGAAATTAAAGTTGAGTAAGTGTACTAAGCAACTAAACTAGTTAAAGCAAAAATATGGTAGTTGCACCTATTAGACTTCAGAAAATTCTCTGACATTAATATGTCAAATATTGGGTAAAGTGTGTGATGTACAATCAAGCAATATTCATGAAATTCCAGTATCTTGGTGCTTTGTTGTTAGGAATGAAATGAGATGACCCAAAGGGCAGAATTAAATATGATAAAAACTGGGGTTTTCAAAATTTATTATCATGAAATAAGCATGCGTCTTTAGTTTTCCAAATTCCCTTGAGAGGCTCATTTGTCTTCCTAAAATTTCTACAGTTAGCAGCAATGAATATAATTAAATAGACCGGAATATGAGGCGTAAAGAAAAGATTGGACAAATGTCACATCAGAATATGGCACAATATAACAAAAAATGTGCGTGCTGACCAATGGGTCGACTGATGAATAGTGCATTCCGGTTGATTTGGCTATCGTTCAATCTTATTTATTTGCTACTTCTACCTACGGGGTAGTGGTGAGCCAATATATTGAGCGATTAAAAGTTTGACAAGCAGCTATACACATGTCATTACGTCTGTTTATACATGGTAGTTAGCAAAACTTTTGAATATCAATCATGCGTACACAGAGGTGAGCCAAAGAGCTGTTGTGAAGTGTTGAGCGCGAACATGCGCATTTATCATTCAAGGATGAGAAAAATAATACGTGTACAGGAGGCGAACTGACGGCAATTCAAATTATATTCAGATCAATTATAGTTCAAAATTGTTTCTTACCTTCCATCTGCAGCAGCTCTGCCTCGTAGTAGCCTGTTTTCGAGTCAAGGTCCTGCTCATCTATATCTGAGTCGCTGATCCCTGCTTTCGACTTCTTGACGGAGGCAATTGATGAGACAGTCTGGTCAATATCCAAAATGTGTCCTTGCTTTTTTCGGACATCGTTGGGAGTGTAGCTTTCCTTAGGTGACCAGAAGACGCGGATTGTATCCCCTGCTCGATACTTAATGGATTTCTTGAAGTCTTTCACATGGGTGGTAGCGTTCACGACCTCAGTTTCTCCCTCTTTAAACTTCACGAGGAAATACATGACAGCCGATGATGGTAATACGTTTAACTTGTAGATGGTAAAATTAGCTATTTTTCATGAATTCACAGATTGATGACAATTGCACACACGATTATAAAGGTAAAACGAAAAGGGCACTCGCGAATCGGTCACATGGTCGGTAAACGGAATACCAAAACAACGCACGTGAGAGTGGGAGTGCAATGATCGGAGATCGGAATGCGACACGATAATTGCAATTGCACCGTTGCACCTGCAAGTAAAGTAACGGACGCCATTCAACAAGTGCCGATTCATCCGCGAGTAAGAGGCGGAATGGTGGAATTTGATTGGTCAACAATGAGAGGTACTCTTGCGAAAAAAAGTAGTGCGGAGTGAAAGATTTGATTTCTCGGTAGAGCAAATAGCTTTTGCAATGATAATTAAAAAGTCATGACTTAATCTTATATAGAAACGGTAACCTTCTCACTAAACTGTAATTTGTGAGGAAAATAAACATAAAAGTTCGTTGTCACAACGCGACCTGAGACTTGCTGAGTGAACGATCTTGCCAACTTGAAAGTTTTCCCCTGATTAAATTCAAATTTTAATCGGCTCCAGATCAAAAGAAAAAACCATGCTTTAAGGTCTTAATCGACAAAAAATTTCAATGAAAATAAATTAACTGTTTACATAGATCCTCTCGAAGTTGTTAAGATCATATTGATTTTTAGATAAAGAAGTTAAAATAATTAAAAATCAGGGTATCATGTAGTGAGTGAGTGGCAGCAATGAACAATTTAGATGGAGTTTGTGTATGTTCGGAATTTTCAGCTGCGATTACGATTTGTGTCCGTGTGATTTTATCGTCCTAAATAGACTCATTTGGTCCGGTTCGTCTGATCCATGTCATGAAATGTGAAAGTTAAACGTGCCGGGAAATCAATCGAAAGGAAATCTTCGTGCGGATCAACGGTGTGTTGCTTTTAATTTTCTAAGTGCGTCGATCATGGCCGCCGGGTTCACCACATCGAGAGAGCCGTGGGTCATCACTGCTGAGAACAATTAAATAAGTACTTAGAATGCTACCAAAGTGACGTCTTTAGACTTCGTTTCTCATTACTTACTCCCGCCCGCCGTGGAGTATTTTCTAAGTGCCTTTTGCGCCGCGGATCATCAAATAAAGTGTCGGCCATCGCATGACTTCGGAATTTAAATGCTCTTCTGAAAGTGACTTTTTCAGACTTTAATAATTGAGTATTACTCTTGAGCAATGTCTCTGTGGATGAACTGAAAGTAGCAGTAGCAAGTGCTTAAAGACATTATCTGTTAAATAATTTTTTAGATCTCCATGAACAATTGTGTATACCATATTTGGCAAGTGCGATTTGAAGGTTTGATGTGTTTCAATCTCTCTCTTCTCAATCCCTCATTGTAAGCATGTAATAATCCACTATTACAATGCCTAAACGCTACAGACTTTGGCTTAATGACCCAAGTGGCAAAGTGCCCAAATCATCACAATGGCGACAGACACGGATGCGGAATGCAACCGAGTCTAACAATGATGATCAAGATCAACCTGCTGGTCCATCAAACGTTCAGAACCTTCGCTGTCAAGATCCAGATGACCCGGAGTCTGCTGATAATGAAAGTGTGGATGCTGATAATCCAACGGAACAACCAAGGAGCCAAGATGTCTCATTCAATGTTGCTGCCTCATCTCCTGATATGACGCCAGAGCCTGACGTGCCAACTTCAAGCGATTCTGAAAATGCTCTAGGATCAAATTCTGATGACAATGATTCTTCATCCAACTCAAGTCGCGGCCCCTCTTCAAATGGTAGTGATACTTCCTTGCCTCATTCACCTAATGAAGCATTTTTTCACCCTGAAGATGAAGCTTTCATGGATGAAGACGAACTCTCAGATGTTAGTGAAGGTAATATTGATCGGGAAGCTTTATTAAATGAGCAAAAACAGAGACTCACCGATAAGTTCAACCTTGATGATGAAATTCCTCCTTCTTCAGGCGGACTCACCAAATTTCAAATCCTCTTGTTGGTATTTCAGTTTGCTATGAGGTTCAGCTTGCCACTGAATGGGATTCAAGCATTACTTGAAATGATAAATCTCATCCTAGGTACTATTATCATCCCTCCAAGCACCTACTATTTTTCCAAAATATTTGAATCATCTCTGAGATCGCAATTTCATTTTTTTTGCCCTCGATGTTCTTATTATTGTGGTCAGTCCGCCACTAATAATCCTATGCAGTGTCCTCAGTGCGCCGTTCAAATTCCTAGAAGAACGTCCGGGAAAATCAAAAACTTTTTCATGACTCTCTCTGTCAAAGATCAGCTTAGGATGCGTCTTGAAAGAGATGGAGATTCCATCATAAAGTATCGTCGCAATCGACAACATGCTGCCAATGAAATTTCAGATGTTTTTGATGGTGAACTCTTCCAGACCCTCAGTCACAAGGTGCGTATGCAAGATTCGGATATTACCATCACTGCCAACACAGACGGATCACCAGTCTTTAAAAGCACGACTAAGTCCCTGTGGCCAATTCAGTTTAGAATCAATGAAGTACCTCCTGAGCAGCGTTTCTCAGTTGAAAGCATGATGGTTGCCGGTCTTTGGTTCTCTCAAACAGCAATTAGCATGTCCTCATATCTGTCGCCTTTCATCAGAGAACTTAAGGAGTTGAGCGTAACCGGTATTCAATGGTATAGTAAAGAGCAAAAGAAAATCATCACCACAAGGGTATTTTTACTGCACACCTGCTTCGATTCGACTGCCAAACCAAAAATTCTAAACATGAAACAGTTTAATGGAGCCCACGGATGCAATCTTTGCTATCACCCTGGCAACGATTGGGATGGAGGAGGAAATATCAGATACAGCCCACATGAAGAGTACGAAGAACGAACTGATGGAAGTATACGGCAAGACATGCAGACTGCACACACCACAAGAACAGAAACTAAGGGCATGAAAGGAATATCACCTCTAGCAGCACTGGACTATTTTTCGATGACCTATGGGATAGTCGTGGACATCATGCATTCGCATTTTTTAGGGGTGGCAAAGTACTTGTATCTACAGCTGTGGACCAAGTCATCATTACACCAAGCTGATTTCCATCTGACCAAAGCTCAAATTCGGAAGATTGACGAAAAACTGATGAACTTGCGGCCACCGAAAGACATTTCAAGAGATATAAGACCCCTGCTCTCTACTGTGAAAGATTGGAAAGCCAGTGAATGGCGCTCTTGGGTTTATTTTTATGGTCCTATTTGTCTTCAAGATATTCTTCCATTACCATATTTTAAAAACTTCTGCCGCCTGAGTAGTGGAATCTATATTTTGAGTCAGGCAGTTATTAAACGAGTTGATCTAGAGTTCAGTCGAAATTGTTTGTTAGAGTTCGTAGAGGAATTTCATGAACTTTACGGTCTTCAGTACTGTACGTACAACAGTCACCTCACCACGCACCTCACTAAATGTGTCGAAATGAATGGCCCTCTATGGGCATACTCATTATTTCCTTATGAAGGGGGAAATGGACACCTAGTGGGACTTGTCATGGGTGCGAATGGAGTGCCCCAGCAAATAGCAAGAATTTTTTCATCTTGGTTCAGCCTTCCGGAAACTCTTGCTCTTCATCCTGCCCTAATACCGAAGGTGATCGAGTACTGCGTGAAGCTGATGAATTTTGCTCGATTCAAGAAATTCTCCCGCCATGATTCTGTTGTGATCGTCGGTAACAAAAAGAAAGAAGTATTTCTCCCTTCTGATGAAGAGATGGATCTTATCCACGCTAAAGGTATTGAGGCTCCGCACTTTTTTGAAGTGAAGAAAATTATCCACGGTGCAATGTATATGACGATGTCAAATTCATCACCACGAAGAGATGACTCTGCAATTGTTCTCAAAGATGGCAGATTTGCGAAAATTAATCGCCTATTTATCACCAGTACTGATAATGACAACGTTTATGCATTTATCCAGACTATCAGGATCAATGAAAGAAGTTTCCCCGGTATCGCCTTTCGCTCCCACATTAAGTTATGCCAGCCGTACGCGTTTGATAGTCAAAGCCTAATAAACGCGCAAGAAATTGGTGAAAAGTGCATCTTTCTTTCAAGTGGCAATGGTGCGCAGTTTGTGATACGGTTCCCAAATAAATTTGAAAAGGATTAATTTTTCTCTGTATTTTACTTTCGCGCTACCCTAGTTTTTTAATTCACTTCTCCGATTAAATAAAAAGCAATTCTAGTATTAATTGATCCTACCTAGATTTCGTTTTTCGTTTCATGAAAGTGAATTCATCATAAAAAAATTACATTAGTCTGAAGTGCGACCTGCAAAGTGCCGTCAATTTTAAAGCATAGAACTAAAGTGAGGTCAAAATTTATCTCATTTTCTTTAAATTCTAAATAATTTCTTTATCTAAGTTCTTAAATTTTTATGGTGTTATTATTCGGAAAAGAAAAGTTGTTTCTCCTCTTCACCAAGCACATTTTGCTGGACTGTTTAATAACTGCTATGCAAGTATCCCAGACTGCAGTCGCTTGTATTCAATGAAAATTCTTCTATGATCAGCTTTGGATTGTTTGAAATTAATCATACTTTCACACCGTCTACCACTATGGCTTCATACCTAAGTGATCACTACCAATCATGAGATGGTTTCCTTGAAACAATTTGTCATCAACTATTAACCCAGGTAAAAATTGAGTTTCTTTTGAATAAGCACGTAATTATGGGCGTAAACGTGGGTTTCATAGACAATGGCTTTTCTAATTCCGTGTATCCTAAAGGTGCCCATATATGTACATGGTTTGTATTTTTCCGAGGGGTGAGAAATTGTAACTCTTAGGGTGAAATTTTGGACAGATATTTTTTGGCCCCTTAAATTATTTGCAAGTAAAGATGCACCCCCGCCATCGTGCTCCATAGTTTCATTATGTACTTCCAGTGTACTATGCGTTAAAAACAATGATCTCAGTGATTATTTATATTCAGGCCTGAAAATCTGGAATTCCATTTGTTGTAAGAATTTGCATAATAAAATTTTGTGGCTATGGTTGGAGCCGTCTCAACCGTTAACACGTGATCTTCTTATTTTATCCGCCTAAAGTAAAATGTAATTAAATTCCTTTTTCAGCTTCCATAATTTAAAAAACATTTTAATAGCAAAAAAAATTTTTTTAATGAAAACTTGGATTAATAATCCAAGTTACTGCGCTTTTGTATAGCGAAGTAGGTACCAGTACTTATGTAAATAAGTTATTTTTGTGGAAAAAATTACTGTTCCCTATACAGACGCAACA